TTCACTTGCTTTTATAACCCCATGAGTTGGCATGGTTGAAACAACTACTTTTTTAAGGATGACATAGGTTTTACATTACGGTACTACTTTAGCGATTTGAACACACTACAACAATTTTGGGATATTATGACAACGACGTTCGTCACAACAGATCCTACATTTGTCATAATAGATCTATTATGACAAAAATATTTGTCATACCGTTGGTCAAAACTACCTCGTCGAAATAGCTCTATTATGACAAAAAATAGGCATCTTGTCACAACATGTTCCAGTGGCACGCCGTGCACATTTTGTCATAACAGGCATCTTGTTATGACAAAATGTTTTGTCAAAATACAGAAATGCTTCATCACAATATGTTATTAATTTTTGTCATGATAGTTACCACTTTTGCTACGTTGTTGTGACAAATGTATAGTTTGTCATATCAAACCTATTTTGACAAAGCCATGTGATTGTCATAATATTCAAACTCAGACTCCATCTGACATTTGTCCTGATTAAACTTGTATGTCATAACCTGATGCATATATGACAACCTGTGGGCATTATTATGACAACCTATTTTCCAAATCTGATGCTATTCATACCATAAATAAAATGGTACATCATTCAAATGTATCAAAAGCTACATCATTCATTGCCGAAATAAAAAACTACATCATTCATAGTTACAATCTGTTCCAAAAACCTACTGATCCATCCAACCAGACACCAAAACAAAGTCTTCCAAAGCGACATATGTTCGTCTTTCAAAAGAGAGTACTAAATAACAAAAGCTAACAGCCTTCCAAAGGTCCTTGAGCATCCAAAATGCATACCTACTGCCATATACCTAGGTACCTGCGTAATACAACGGTCAAAGTTTGAGTAAAACTTAGTAAATAAAATTCAATTGAGTAGTAACACCGATGACAGTATAAGTACAACTTATGAGATTATAATTTTACCTTCAGCTAAACTTATGAGACTATAATTGGACGCATAAGCATCCGGAAACTTAACGGTTTGTAGCCAGTTACACAACTGAATTTGGTTGGCAGTGGTTAGGGAGTAACAGGCCTGCGGTAAAGATGGTTTGACGCCATCGCTATTAACCCAAAGCTCCTTTCTAATGCCCAATCTCTCTAAATCGAATATGGCATTCAGGCTATCTTTTGTTTTCCCCTCGATATGCATCAGTGTTCCCAAAACATTCTCACTAATGTTTTTCTCTACATGCATAACATCTAAGTTATGCCTCAACTCAATCTTTTCCCAATAGGGCAACCTCCAGAATGAGGCTTTCGTTTTCCAATTATGATTGGGGGTAGAGGGACTTCGTTTCCTTTTGCGACTCAGATTAGGCATTTCATTTGAATTTAAAGCTAAATTCAATTGGCTGAGTATTTCTGAACCACATAGAATTTTAGGCTTCTCTCTCAAATCTGCCTTTCCATTGAATTTCCTACTTCTCCTCCAAGGGTGATCTGTTTCTAACCATCTACGATGACCCATGTAACATTCTTTGTTACCAAATTTCAAACGAAGGGAGCCTTTCTCACTATTGCAAACAGGACATGCTAGTTTTCCTTTAGTACCCCAACCACACAACATTCCATAAGCAGGAAAATCATTTATGGTCCATAACAAGGCAGCATGTAATTGAAAAGTTTGTTGAGAATATGCATCATAAGCTGTCACCCCATCCGTCCATAATTCTTGTAAAGCTTCTATTACTGGTTCTAAATACACATGAATGTTATCGCCTGGAGATTTCTTTCCAGGTATCAGCACACTTAGAAACAGAAAAGACTCCTTCATACATAACCATGGAGGTAAATTGTAAGGGGTTAACACAACCGGCCACATGCTGTAACTAGAACTGAAGTTCCCAAATGGATTAAAACCATCACTAAGAAGTGCAAGCCGCACATTTCTAGGATCGGCAGCAAACCAACTATGGTCCCTATCATGAACAGCCTAAGTAGCCTATCCTTTATAGGGAAATACCTAGCTGTTTTAATGGGAATATCCTTCCCTTTTCCTGGTTTATACCTAGATTTCTTACACTTGGGACACGTCTTTTCATTCTGGAGAGGACCTCGGAATAAGACACAGTTGTTAGGACAAGCATCTATAATGGTATAACCAAACCCGAGGTCATGAATGTACCTCTTCACCTCATAATACGAATTAGGGAGATTCTCTCCATTTGGTAAAGCTTCCTTGATTAGATCCAAATTGAGGTTAAATGCTTTATCGCTACTATTGGTTAACATTTTGTTATTCATCATTTTCATAATGAAGGATAACTTTGAAAATTTCTAACACCCAGGATAAAGAGGACATTTAGCATCTTTTAGTAGTTTAGCTAAGGTTGGATCCAGATTCACTCCCCCAAAACCCTCATTCATAGATTCAAAAGCTGATGTACCAAACCTAGCAGCATTAGCTCGACTCAAATCATTCAACATGGAAGGCATTTCAATGTCAAAACCATGCATATCATTCTGACCAATGTCCTCTAAACTATCAGTTGCCACGCTACCACCAATATCAGAATCCTCTCCATGATATATCCACAAACTGTAATCCTCTACCATCCCATTGAGGAACAAGTCAGCTTTCACAAGATCTATTGTTTTAAAGCAACAATTGTTGCATTTTCTGCACGGGCACCTAATTCTACCACTACCATCAGCACATGCTTTGGCAACCCCTAGAAAGTACTCAACACCCTTCACATAATTAGCATAAAATCGATTCTTCTACTTCAACCAACCTCTATCCATTTACTCTGCGTGCATAAATTAGGCTAACCTGTGCCTTGGGACGATTCTTGGATCACAAAATGCAGGTTGACCTTATAACTTCACTTGAGCAAGCACCTGCAAAATGAAAACAAGAGAATAAATCTCAAATGTTCCCCTAAGGATGTCGAAATAGCAATAGCAAATCAATCACAACACCGAAGCAATCAAACCTTCTCTAACAGGGTCGTCACAGTGAACAGAACCAAACACACCAGAACCATAACAACAAGATCCCGTTTTCCCCAATTATTTACAGGACACTCATACTTATCCCATGCCTATATGTAGCAACTAGATTATCCAAATCAACCTAATCACTTCCATCTCCATTCTTAAAACAGAATGTCTATCTAACACTGTCCTCAAGTCAGCTCTAAGTCCAATTATTTACAGGAATTGAAACGCTAAGTTTGCTCAACCACCACGGGCAATCGGATTCGAAAGGGGGGAAAAGAGAATCAGCTTCCCTGCTCTAAAGATGACAAATCCAAGCTGATCTCGGGAAAGTCTAGCCCTCCGATCAATCCAAATCATTAGCAATTCTCGATACAAACAAAGCCTATCTACAAAACACCTTAATCCTCACAAGGATAAGGCCATCGGGTATTGCACAAATGCAGATATATACAAACAATCACCCGCTCTTATAAAATGAAACTCGAATCTGGCTTCCTACGCCATCCAAGCCGCTCGATTATCGGAGGCAATTTGACGAATTCTGGGCGTGAGAGAATTGGGGAAAACGGGAAGTACAGGACGAGAGATCAAAATCAACCAAATCCCCAACAAAATCGTCTCACAATCGGCAAACCCTAAACTCCCCCAAAAAATCCCCAATGAAAGCTTCTCTCAATCGTCTAAAAACGATGCGACAGAAGTGGAAGAGGGTGATCGAAGAGAGGACATTCGTCTTACTCGATTATGACGCGATGCGCTTGCTCGCTGCTGCGGGGAAGATTCGATGCGACTGCGAAGACAGACCAATTGACAGAGGGTTTTTTGAGCGGCGAAATTTGGGAGTGGATCTGGTTTTGGATCGCTGGAGGGAATTAGGTCCCGCGCCCTATGTCCTCTCTCTCTCTCTCTCTCACTTTCATTATCTGAACATAAAATGGAAAAGAATAAAAGCACCCCTGTTTTGACTAATCAAACTTTGTCACATTACCAAAATTATGTTACTTGAAATAAAGTACGAGAACAATATTGTGACAAACTTATAATGACATACACTATTTGTCATAATACATATGTAATATGACAAAATATTATGACATCATATAACTTCGTCACAATATGGGTCTAATATGACAAATTAGTATGACAAAATGTTTCTTTGTCACAAAAACACAACTAATATGACAAATTTTAGTTCTGTCATATTATAGGTTCTATTGTGACAAACTTAAAATCACAAATTAAAATTTCGTCAGGACATCCCAAAATTGTTGTAGTGACAACTGGGCTTCCATCACACTAATCCAAACTCTTGTTCGTTGAAACAACTACTTCTGAATTGGGCTTCCGTCACACTGCTCCAACAACCCTATAATTTTCTGTAGCTAGAGTAATTAGTTTTATAGTTAAGTAAATTTAGTTAGTTTGTATTATTTTGCTTATCTAATGTAAAAGTAGGGTTATTTGCTCAAGCCTTTATATGATGAGCATTGTACATATTCACAACTCAATGAAACAAGTTTTCATCCGGATCTTTTCTTATTCTGTGGACAAAGATGCTATAGATTTGTTTTTATTGTTAGAAGGCCAAATTCACTTGTATAGCCAAAACTTTGACGTTTGTGACAAATATAGCCACTTTTGGAGAAATATCAGAAATAGCCAGAATTTTGAAAGTTCGATGACAAATATAGCCATTTACATTACATAGTTTGACGGCTTCAATAACACCGTTAGTCAAATTAACCAAACGCTTACCTGGCTGCCAACTCACAGGACACATCATTGACAACTCAACAATACTTGCCGTGTCATATTTTAATTTAAAAAAAATAAAAAATGACAAATTATTTTTTTTCTTCCTCTCTCCTCTCCCACCACTCGCCGTCGAAGAACTCTTTCTTCTCCCTCTCCTTCCACCACAGACCCCGACCCCAACCCCAAACTCATATCCTCTCCTCCCACTCCGACAGCGTTCCAGATCCAACCCACCACCGACCCCGCCGACACCGCTGACCCTACGATCTCCCTCTGGCTCATAGCATCCGACGGCTAAACCCTTCCATGATGATCCGAACCCAAAGTGCAGGGCAACCCGGGGAAAGGTAAAACCAGAGAGAGGAAATCAGTCGGAGCGGCGTGTCCGATGAACCGAGCAACGACAGCAGGAGCGATCCGACGAACAACATGAGTGGAGGTAGCAGTAGTGAAAATCCTCCCAAATACACCCAAGTCCGAAATCTCCACTCCTATCGTAAAGACTGAATCTCATTATTATGCTATAGCTGCTGAATTTTGGCTAGAAGAGAAGGGTTGCTAAGTTAATCTGCTGTGCCATGAATCCATTCTCTTATCACTAAGCTCTAAGAATAAAATCTAACCATGGAATTCAGTGTCACAAACTTTGCAATGGAAAGTAAAAGGGTCATGAGCTAACCTTCTGCCACCACCAGTTTGATTCCGGTTGAAGCCTTCTGCAGGTGAATGAGCAGCAGGAGGAATATTCTTGGCAACGATCTCGATCTTCATGGTTTCCCATCTAATTGCACATCATTATATCTTGCAAAACCGCTGAGAATTGAAATTGCAGATCTACGACCGGAGAAGAGAGGGCGCTGCGCAATGCGACGAACACGAAGAGAGTGGGGGATGGGGGGGCGACTGGGAGATGCAGCGGTCGTTTGATGATGTCGACGACGGGTATTGAGATCTGGAGTAGGCGACGACGATTAGCGAGGGCGATGGCGACGACGACGGGTATTGAGATCTGGAGCAGGCGACGACGATTGGCGATGGCGACGACGACGGGTATTGAGATCTGGAGCGGGCGACAGCGATGATTGACGATGGCGATGGCGACGACGACGGGTATGTAGCGGTCGATTGAGCAAATAGGAGATTGGAATTTAGATCTGTATTGATGGAGATAACATATTGGAAACAAAGATTTTTTTTTATTGATGAGGTTGCAACAGAGACGGAGTTGGGTTTAGGGGGATGTGGGGTTTGGGCAATTTTCTTTTTATTTTTTTATTAATTTTTTCATTAATCTATGTGGCAATGTTGTTTATAAATGTCACCACCACCTCAGCAATGTCGTTAGTCCAGTCAGCTATTTGGTTAACACCGTCAAAGAATTGGACAGAAGTGGCTATTATTGGTATTTCCCCAAAAGTGGCTATATTTGGCAAAACCGTCAAAGTTTTTGCTATACAAGTGTATTTGGCCTTGTTAGAACCATGGTCCATGAAACCGTATCGTACCGGCGGTTCAACCACAAAATACCAGTATCGGAGGCTAAACCGGTAGGCGGTATTTAACGATATGAACGGTTGAACTATGGATAAACCACGGTTTTGTCATAAATACCCTACCGCTGACTTTTCCGGTATGGTGTCCGGTACGGTTTCATGAACCATGGTTAGAACTACTGAAAATATTCGAAATTATTGGTCCATTTTTGTAAGCAGTTTCATCGCTTTCATGTTTTCAGCTAGCTAACTTCGTGCATGGATTAATTATCTTACAAAGTTACAAGTTAAACCCCTCATTAACTATAAAACTTCCCCTAGCTATAACCTTCATCTTAAAAGGAAATATTTTCTAAATATTCTCGTTCAGGCCTCTGCAACCCATCTCCACCCTCATTTCCCCCACAAATCTCCCAAATCTTCCCCAAAAGACGAATCGTCATTTACATCCAAGCCCACAAATCTTCCAAATCTTTCCAATAGATACAAAACGGGTGAATTGCAAGTTTGGTCACATATAGTCACCCGAATCACTTTTCTTTTAATTTAGCCACCGATATTATACATTTATGTAATCCTTGGTCACTTGCCATCTAAGTCCGTTAAATCTGTCCTAGATGGTAGTCAACTCCAACGTTTGACCGTTAAAAATTTATGTATTATTTTAAAAAGGTAATATACACATGTGTAGCCAAAACTTTGACGGTTTGGCAAATATAGCCACTTTTGGCAAAATACCAAAAATATCCACTTTTCGCTTTTTTATTTTAATTTCGCATCAGTAAAGGGAAAATCGGAATTGGACAAGTGCTAAAAGGATACTCGCCGATTAGGGGTGGGCAAACGGTTCGCTAAACCCAAAGCGAACCGAACTGAACCGAATTAAACCGAAACCGAATTAATACTATTCGGTTCGGAATTCGGAAAGAAGATAGGGATAATTCGGAAATCAGGGTTCTTTCAACCGAATCGAATTTCCGACCGAAAAATCAAAATACTATAATTGCAAGCTCCAAATGGTGGATTTTTATGTTTTTAGTTGTTTTTAGACTTAAATATTTGAAATGTTTTATGACTTATGTGTTGAAAAGTTTGGTTTTATCATTGATGATGCATATAATTGATATTTATTGTTTATATTAGGGGTGAAAAATAATTTAAAAGTGAGAAAATACAAGTAGCTTCACAAATTCGGTTTTGTGTGAAAAATCGGACCGAACCGAATTATAATTCGGTTTAAACCGACCGAAGCGAATTATAATTCGGTTCGAATTCGATTTGAGGTTTGGGAGAATTCGGAGACCCGGTATTCATAATTTCGGTTCGGTCAAAACCGAACCGACCGAATGCCCACCCCTATCGCCGATGCTGTTACTCTGTTTCCCGGTGGCGATTAAGAGGAGGCGGAGAAGCAGGGACAAGGTATCGCCGCCTGTGAAGGCAGCCGTTCTAGGTGGGGATTGATTTTACTCTTGCCGCCTTCAGTTCCGACGATATGAACGGGGCAACAATAGACATCCCAATTCCATTCTTACCTCCGCCAGCTCCAGGAGAAACATCTCCCACCTTTTCCTCTATCCATCTCTGACTGTAAACAAAACCGTCTATGCCACCGATTTAGAATCCCCATCACTGCCTTCTCGATTTGGTTCTTCAGGGATTTGGGTTTTTCTCTTTGCCCCAACACTCTGTAACAGTCGCAGTCGTCCTTCAACTCGTGCTCAAGTATACTCCCAAAGTCGAGGCCAAAGCAGTAGAGGAGATGGGATGGGAGAAGGACATAAAGAGAGACAGAGGGGAAATCACAGCAGTGACGGCAGCAGCGGCGAATTTGGTAACAAAATAGTGAGGATATGGACGAAGAAGGCTTGACGGCGACATCTTATCTTATCTCGCCTAATACTCATATTAAAAGTGCTACTTGCCTATCCCCCACCCTCGGGATAGAGATCCCGCTTTTACCCCCATAACGTAAGACAACCATTAGGGTTGTCTATCGTTTGATATCTAATATATAAATAGGCAAATCCTAAGATCCTGCTATTTATTTCTTATCCTCTCCCATCGCCCCCTTTATGGAGAATAATAGGGTAGAGATGACAGGATCTTAGCTCGATATGGTTTTAATCTGTTATCCTATCGCTTCCGTCAAATTCAAGCGTTGGTACATTATACTAGGTGGTAGCTTTTTGGTACACGGCCTAGGAGGTTATGTTCTTTTCTGATTATTTTTAGTGAGAAATTCTTAGTAAAGATACTTCATTATTGGATCAATTTGTTCATCCATATTGAAACTTGACACACACCAAAGCCCTCGTGATGATTAAATTCTATAATCTTGACTCATTTCCATTTTGGATGTTAGTTTTTCTTATCAAGACACTTAAATTTAGTATATTATACAATATGTATCAATTGTTAATTTTTGAAGTTTAGATGAAACTTCAACCCGTGGTCATTGTTTATATGTTGACTTAGAATCTCAATCTAAGACACTCGCACACACTGTCGAGGATTTTGGTCTTAACGTGGTCGCTAAATGTGTAATTTTCATAGATTTTATAACTTATATATTAATATTTGATAAAGAGTGTCTACAATACACACATATTTCAAGTGCATTTAAAATGTCTTATCATTTGAACAATATCGGTAGATTTCATTTTATTATTTGTATTAACTAATTATATATACAACATATATCAATTCGTGTTTCTCGAGTTTGGACGAACTGCAACCAATTTTGAGAGTTGAGATTATTGGATAAATATACTTGATTGTTGGATAAATATGTTTATCCCAATTTACTATATTACTAAAAATTGTCAACCTTTATTTGGTAAATGTCTAGGTTAGTAATTGATGAAACGCGATGTTTATCGTAGATCCTCAACAAAGATTCTCTAACCTTCCTTTATGTTATTTTTCAAGAAATCTTGGGTCTCATCCTAGGGTATGAAGTCAAAGTTCGTCAAAAATCATACTTAAGTCATTTTGAAAATTTTGATTTATAATCATTGACGATAACTCCAAGTCCGAAAGAAAATTTCTTAGCATACGACTTAGGATCTCAATAGAGCTTGCTCAATCAACATGATATAGAACATATAATATTAATGTGAACTTAGGACATATTATAAAATAATTGCACATGCGATTTTTCTTCATTTGAAGAGTTTAAGATAAAACATGATCTGAGGAATAAGAAGTCTTTTTTTAAATAAATAACGTAACTACTCGATCAAGATTATACTCTGACATTTTGTTAAATAATAATTGTTTTATTTTATGGACATATAATTTACGAATAAGAGAATGTTTCATTGCAACAAAATATAAAGTAATATAGTTTATTTTTCATTTTTCATAGGTAATTAAATGTCAAATGTTTATTTTCTCTCTTTTCATATAAATTTTGTTTAATCGAAAAAAATATTATTGTTTATGTGTACGTTTGTTTAATTTTTTCATCAAAATGTAACTTATCGTTCAATTTGAGTAGAAATGAGTAAAAATTTTACTTCATAAGGTTTAATTTGATATTTTTTTATTTAAAAAAATGTAGTATATGTTACTTTTTGTTTTTTTATTTATATTTTTTTTACTGGACAAAAAAAATATTATTTATGTGTGTTTGGTTTAGTTTATCAACATGTAACTTATTATTAAAGCAAAAAAAAAGAATAAATGGATAAAAGAAATGGAAATATTAAAGAAGAGAGAGGTAGCTCCATAAATACATTAATAATTAATATTTTTGTTTGTAAAAAAATTGTCCAACTTGGCAAATTGTGAATCCTTCAAGAGATATCTTTTGAATTGTCATAATATATAGTATAGATTTGTGACGTTAAAAGAAATGTCACTAGAGAAGTGTCCGTATAATATATGTATATTGTGACATTAATGTTGACATCATATAATTGTCATAATTAAATGTGAAAATAACTTAGTTGGTCGTCTGACGTCAAAGAAATGTCATTAACAAAGTGTCAATATATTAGGGCTGGGAATCTAGATCAAACCGTATGGGAAACCGCGGTCTAGACCGTATTGTATGGTTTGGTCTGGACCGTGAGACCAGAGCTATGGTCTGGTCTGGTTTGCGGTCTCCTCTTTTAGTGCGTGGTCTGAAGTAGTCTGGACCGCGGTCTACCGCAGTAAACTGTAATAGACAGCAACACACTACCTACTAACTCGGACAAAAATAACGCTAAATTGAACCTCCATTTGCGTATTTGAAGAACAAAGTTAGTTGATTCTTCGTCTAGTTGAGAGCCAACAAATTGAGCTTATGTGTTATCTCCTTATCAAAGAACCACACAAAAACCAGAAAGACTCATAAATAATATTCACAAGCAATATCTAGCCTATGGAGTCGATAAAAATTCGTTCACCTTGATGAGATAAGGAAAATTATTGAGAGATATGCGACCATCTTAGTGATTCAAAATTACCTCAACGTCATCACAAAGGTTATCAACCGAGAGAACCTTCGAATCACTCGAGAGAGGAGAGAAGCGGTAGCACAATGAGGAATAAGGAAACAAGGCTATTTGATGTGTGTGTGATTGAAAATTGAACTCACTTCTATCCTCATATTTCTTCTCATTTAATTACGATCACAAATTTTTTGTTTCACTAGCATTTTGGTCACTAGAATTTTTATTTTTATAGATACCGACGAATGGTTGGAGGGTGA